CCGCCTCCCCAAACCTTCAGCCATGAGGCGGGATGGTGCGGGCTGGGGGCCTGTGGCCTGGGGCTGTGAAATCGTTTCCTCAGCAGAGGGCTGGAGACAGAAGAGAGCATGCCGGAGCTTTGCTGGCACAGGACCAGCAGAATGAAGCCTCGCCGAAAGCGGCTGAGGAGCTCCGGGCCCAACTGGCTGCAAGTGATGAGGGCTCACATTATGTGAGCAGCCTCAGCTGCTCAGGTGTGAGGAGTTAGAGGTGCAGCTTCTGGAGATGACGGAAGAAAACACCAGACTGGCTGAAGAAAATTCTTGCCTCCATGGACAGACGAGGTTCAGGCTGAAAATGCTGACCTGAGGGGGCAACTGACACGAGTGGCAGAGGAGTGAAATTCTGCCATCCGAGCCATCAGCTGTCTTCAAACCCGACTGGAAGCCGCAGAGACCAAACTGAAAGCCGTGAGAGACATGGCAGAAAGCGCTCAGTGAGAAATAAAAAGGGACCATGGAGAAGCCAGGCAACCGTTTCGAGCCCCGGAGAGCGAACCAGAGAATTGGGTTCAGAGCCCCTCACTCAGCTTGGGCAGAGGACACCCCTGGGTCCTGCAAGTGAGACAGAACCACCAGTAGCAGACAAAGAGTCCGTCATCCTGCAGGCTCTGGGACAACGACCGGGAAAGCTTTGAGCATTCATAGCTCGATACAGCTGCGCTCCTTTTGATGGTCCCAGTGAGCAGCCTGAACTAGAGCTTCCTCAAACTACTGGACAATCTGTTTATGTCTTTGGTGGATGAAGGTGGTTGGTCTGTGGGAGAGCTGGCAGACGGCACAAGAGGATTCATCCCCTCTAATTTTGCTGAGGACGATTCAGATGACAACCTGGAAAGCGAGAACTGGAATGATCCTCATCATTATATTTTTGGTCTCTCGCCTATTCTGGAGGAAGATGAAGAGGATCTAGATGTGGGTGGTAGGGGCTGAAATGAATAAACAAACATAGCCTATACCAGCCTCCAGAATATCTGCAGAAGTGAATTGGTACTTAAAAGTGATTTTTTTTTTTAGACTTTTAGAGTTTTGTAGAATGGAGGGATCTCTCGAGGGCAGCAGAGGCTTCCAACGGGCCCAAATAAGGCCCCTGGGGCTTTCTGGAGGGCAACTCTGCCATGTCAGAGCACCACTGCTGTTGGCAGCGATGGGGACGCTCCTGTCAGGGCTGGTGGCTGTGCATGTCCTCACCGTGGGGAGCAGAGAGCAAAGCCAAACTAAGTGGCACTGCCCAAGGGACCCTCCGCGCAGGCATCGCTCACGTGCCAGGAAAGGATGTTTGCAGGGCACCTCGAACCCACTGCTGCCCCTGCGTTCGCACTCTGGCAGTAAGCTGAATGAATAGGCTGGGCTTGGCCAGGGCTTTCCAGAGTGTCCCCGCATCCCTTCCCCAGCCCAAACCGGCCCTGCAGGTCTTCTGGCTGAGGTGCTTCTGCTGGTGTCCTGCGAGCGTTCCCCATCAAGGCACCTCTGAGTGCGAAGCCTCTTGCCCAGCTGTACAACTGCTAGTGGAGCACACTTTGTGTGCAATTGCTGCTCACGCAGAAAGCACCCAGAGGAGCACGTGCTCCAGGACATCCCCTGTGCTTGCTGCTTGTGCTCCTTGGGAGCATTTCACTGAATGCTTCTTCAACAGCCTGCTTTTTTTGCAAAAAAAGAACATGCCCTGGTCTGCCCCCGTTGCTCCTCCTAGAAAATAAAGAGCACCCAGGCTTTCCTCCTTCCTGGACCATTGCACACCACAGTCCCATGCAGCCCCCTTCCATGACCCTTGCTAGGCCTGCCAGCTGCACCTCTGTCCCTGGGGAAGCGATGGAGCAACAGATCCTGGAAACAACTTCCAAGTTGTCCTGTGAAGGACAAGGCGGCGATGGGAAGTAGTCAGCATGGATTTACCATATGAGGCAATTCCGCCTTATCGCATATCGCATATGAGGCAGGAAGGTCACCTTACTCACATCAAATACACCTCCCAGGGGCCAGGGCACAGGGGGTGTCCCGTCCCGAGTTCCTGCTGGCCACTCATCCCAACAGAGAACTACAGTTCAAGCTTCACTGAGTCCTAAAGGACCGTCAATTTTCTTCCAGTTTCCCAGAATTTCTGCCAGCGGCGAACCCTGTTTTACCTTATCTGTTGAACCCCCCATGACTGATGCTGCCCACAGTTTTAGTACCTCCCCAGGGAATGCGGATCCCACAAGGGCAATCAGGGAACTCACCCAGCACTGGCTGTGTCATATGCCACCACCACACTCAACAGGTCGGGAACCCGCAGAGTCCCACCTGGGTCGCCAAATTGTTACCAAAATGGATTTGCTTGCATTTTTCTTTTCTTCTATTTTGTGTGCAGGTACTGGAAAGAGGGCAGGAGAAGCAGGCACTAGCTAAAACCCTTTTGTTATTGCCAGCAGTAAAGGTCCCTCTCAGCTGCGTGCACAAGCAGGACCCCATGTTATAACTCTTGATTCCTTATGAGTGATCTTAAGACTATTCCCATACTCATTTTTACAATAACATTGCCTGCAGATGGAAAGTAGAGAATAATTTCTTTTGTTTTCCATTGCTTCCATACACAGCCTTTCCTTTTTCTTTATTAAACTGCCTTTATCTTGACCCACAGGTCCTTTTTTTTTTAATCTTATTTTCTCTTTCCCTGTTCTGCTGAGGAGGGGGAGTGACAGGAGAAGTGGCAATGATTTTAAACTGAGAGTAGATTTAGACTGGACATAAGGAAGCAACTTTTTACGATGAGGGTGGTGAGACACTGGAACAGGTTGCCCAGAGAAGTTGCGGGTGCCCCATCCCTGGAAGTGTTCAAGGCCAGGTTGGATGGGGCTTTGAGCAACCTGGTCTAGTGGAAGGTGTCCCTGCCCATGGCAGGGGAGTTGGACTAGATGATCTTTGAAGGTCCCTTCCAACCCAAACGCTTCTATGATTCTGTGATGGAGAAAACTGTGTTAATGTCACTAGTTACAGCACTAACATGTTCCCTCACCTCAAAACCAGCACTGTTCAAACACTCAATATCAAGACACACAACTAGATTGTGTTTGTACACAGCAATCGTTTCAGAAGCTTCAGAACCAGGGTCAGAGGGTCCTTCCCGAAGCGTCTGTAACACAAGCAAGTGTTAAAATAACAAAATAAAACCTCAGTAACAATTCATGGAATCTCACTTGCAGTTTGCAATACTAAAATTTGCTATTTAACTCAGCGTGGAATACCAGTTCATGTACTAATACCAATAATAATATCATAAGAGCCAAAAAATGAAGAAATCTATTACAGGCAGATGTAGAATTATGCAGAACATAGAAGCAACGATGAAGCATTCAAATGCAAGATGGGAATGCTAAGCCCCTCATGAGATATGATCCAAACCAGAAAACTAGAGTTAGAAGTGGCATGCTAAAAAAGTGAGAAGCAGGCCAAAAAAGGAGGAATTGAAGTAGCTGAGATGAGAGATAGCCAGGCACAAGTGGGACAAAGGAGTATTTCATAGCCCCAGTGCAATAAACACTGGTTATTTGGAACAGTAACTATGCAACACATTCAGAACAACATTCATGTTGGTTTTAACTACGGCAAAGAAAACAACATTTTTGCTTTATTGTTACATTTGAGAAAAATACTGCCTGTTCTTAAGAACTGCCACTTGCCTTCCACTCCTGGAGCCAGTAGAGAGCTAACCGTTATGTTCCCAGTCTAAGAGACAACCTCAAGTCAGACAATCTGCACACACAGCAAATGTTTCCAAATCACCTTGGCTAGCCCCTGTGTATTTCGGACATCTCAGCCACAAAATGACAACATTTGGCAAGTATTTAATTTGCTGCTAAAACAGCTCCAATGCCATTTCCACCTTCTAAATTGTGGAGCCAAATCATTTGGCAAGTTCCCATTAAATATCTATACAGACCTGGTTCCACAAAAGCTGTTTTCTGGTGTCCTAACTACTGAACCTACTCGAGAGCTGTGGCAAAACAAATTATAGCCTTTTTATGTGGGTACTCATGACCTTAAGTTTAAGAGGAAACCGGGAGACATACTGCTGACATATTTGGCATTAAGCTTTCCATGTTTGCTATATCTGTGCTGTAAGACATTCTACTGTTGATGCCAACATTGTAATTAATTTACAGCACGTTATGGACAGGCTCTACTGAAAACTTATGACACCAGTTAGTCTTAAAAGCATCTCCAGCCCTTCAGGCAGGCTTCGCTGCCATCCAAATATAGTGCTCTACACACACACACAAAAATTTCCACCTAGCAAAGCACACGCATGACTAAACCAAATATTCTGTAATACATTATGAGTGTGTTAATGCTTACCCAAGTATACTTGCCAAGTCATCATCTTTCGTAACAAGCTGACCAGGATGTGGTTTAATCGCATTAAGTCACCAAACTATCAAAGATAATTTGACATGGCTGAAGGCGATATTCCATTTTTCCGGAGAGGTTTCACAGCCAACTTGGCAGAGGGCTATACCATACCAAGGGTTAGTCACAGGTTCCCTAACCAGTATCTTAAAGCTTTAAAATTCACCTAAATGTAGCAGATACAAAGTGTGTTTGCATGTGGTGAATTACCATTCAATTGTGAGTTATTTAAAGTTTCAGCACTCTTTAGTACTTCAGAAAGAAAACACAGGAAAACATGAAGAAAAGTCACAGCAAATTACATCTAAGAGATTCCTGGTTTTAAACTATATCCATTAAAGAACACTTTTACAAAATGCTATGAAGAATTTATGTCTCAGTTTAAGAGAAGATGGGGGAAGAACACACCTTGTTTGCCTCAAATGTAAATTATTTCAAGCAAAAGAAACTACAGGATAATCTCTGCCTTTTTCTGTAGAAGCCCAAAGCACGTAGCATTGATGCTTCAGAAAGTAAAGCAAAGTGGTGTCATTATCAACTGAAAGCATAACATAAGGAGCTGTATGATGCAGAAACAACACTGCCAGTTTTCACAGCAAAGATCTTCTTCCTTGCAGGGTTTTACAAAGGGTATGATCTGACTAAACACTCTTCAGTGCATATAAACAACGTTGACAGTTTTTCTCCTCCCTCATCTAAGCACATTGAAGACAAGACTATAGCTAGTTCTACGCCTCCTAAAAACTCTTAGCTTTGAAGAAAGAAAATCTCCTTCCAGTTCTAGGTTCAATACTTGCCACTTAGATTTTTTTCCTAAAACATATGGAATTATTCTTATTGACAATTTCTCAGCATAAATATATTTAAGAATCCTAGCTATCCATTTCTGAACAATAAATCACTATAATGTCACTTAATCAAGAAATATTTAAAAAATTAATTAAGAAAATGGCTAATTCCATGGGTCTAAATGCAACAACATAGAATTTGACACCAAGAAACTTTCAAACTGGACATCATAAAGGAAGCCTTCCACCCCACTGGCATTGCAGACCTCAAAAAATCACAGGTGCTCCAATCACAACATGGTGAGGTTTATGATGGAAAGCTACCTCTGAAAGCTGAAGTGAAAGCTCGATTTTATTCCGGATTCCTTACTACTTTAAATACAAACAAATCAGTGAACAAAGAAGAAGATGAGATGTTAAGAGTTTAAATGCAGAGATTTATACATATATTCTTAAAAGATATACAATAAGAATTCTTAAAAAATGTAATATTAACTTTATTGCATATATCATTCCATAATTATTTGGAGAGATGAGAATAAATACAACAAAACCTTTAAGTTACCGAAGGTGGGAGACCTATATCTGAATGGAATTGTCTATCAAAGTGACATAAATCATCTTGGAGATTACCGAACCATTTGATTTCAAATTCTGTGGCTGATGCAGTTACCAGTGATGACAGTGCTGAAGGGCCTATGCATTTTACCTCACCCTGAAATTCCTCTTTTAGCTTCTCTGGTATAAGATCCTGCCCCATAACCTGCAAACAGAGTAAGAAAGACGATGGGAAACAAGAAAATAACTTGCAGAGAAAACAGCAAATTTGACATTAATAACAGATCTTTACAAGAAAAGCCCTTGACACATGAACCACACGCCATCCAGGAGAAGTTTCCAAGTCACGATCCAGTTGCCTGCCTGTTGCATTCTGCAATAAACATGGAGAGCTGAGAGCCCCGCCCAGATTCCGGCTATGCTTGTACAGGGGGATTTTTACTCTCTGACTAGCAGCGGAAATCTCAACGCCAACTCTGCGTTCAGTGCTCACCTTGCAACAGCACCAACACTCCGGATCTCCTCCTGGGGGGGTGTGGGACCAAGGGAGGCAAGGAGAGAAGTTTCTTCTCCCAACCTTTTCGCAACCTGAGACAGACTGCAAGCTACTGCCCTCTTATGGATGAAATCCCACACGACCGCCTGCCAACCCCGCAGCAGCTGGGCTTTCAACAACTTGTTAGAATCTCACTGGCTTCCTTTTGTTCCTTAAGATAAAAGTCAGAAACTCTATAAATAGTACTAAAAATGTTCAATCTCTATGAATAAAGTCATGCAATGTTACTCTCCTCCTCTGTATTTCTGTAAAACTAGAAGCCAGTACATCAAACAGAAGGAAGAAATCATGTAAAAGGATGTCTCTGGCTTTTTCTGAAAATGTTTAATACTTTTTCTGGAAGTGTTTAATAGTGCTGTGGCCATCAAAGTAATCCCTGCTTCCATTTCATACTTGTGATTCACTTTGTGGCATCTAAAATTCCTGAGATAAAATCTGCATCCCAGGAAACACACAGTGATGATGCAGCTGCAAATACAGGTCCAATGAGAAACTTAACAACCCTGAACATTCCCAAAAGGAGAATCTCAGCAGAACAGAGATACAGCTGCATGACACAAGCCAGAGCTATATAGGTACCACTGTCAGCTCCAGATAACACACTACTGGGGCTACCCACCCCAGCTAATTTACCTTGCTTCCTGGCCCAGTTAATTAGCTTAGGGGAGTGTCGCTTACAGGACTTTGTGCCTGAACTGGCTCAGGTACCTCAACCAGCCTACGTATAGCTGAGAACTTGCACACAACAAAACATCCCCCTACCTTGGTCATCAACAGCAAGGAGTTTTCATTGAAACCAAGTCGTGCCACCTTGCCATCAATTTCTTTTTGGCCTTTTATGTTATTCTCTAGTGCAAAGGACGACTGTTGCAACTGGATAAGTTGAAGTAAAAGCCTGAAATGAAAGAGGCAGTTAAAAAAAGGCACAGCTGGCAAAAGAGTAAGTCCGCAAACTTCAAACAAACCAAAATATAATACTTTAAAACAGCTCTTCTTCCTGACTTTTGCCGACTGCAAAAACTGCAAAGAAATGAACGAATCCATAACAATCTACTATAGGTATGGTATATTTGTGCTATGACAGAAGTACTGAGAAGTACTTTTGAAAAACAACATGCCAAGTATCTCTGGCTGCTCTGCGCAAACATTTTTTTCCCCATGTATTTGCCACACAATTTAAAAGTGAAGCTTGGATCTGCTAGCACTAACTGCAGCATATCAGGTGTTCCACATCCTTAGTAACACCTAACAAGACCACAGAGCATTTTTGCCTATGGCAGTGATTATCTTTGTAACCTGAAAAGCTAGAAATTTGCGGGTTTTAGACAAATACCAAACATCTTCCCCACACAGGCCAACCTTGGGATATTTTCTAAAACCTTTCACCACAGTTTTATGTTCAAGGCAGTGCCCCAGAAGTCACCACCATGATTCAGTGAAGGTTAGACATTATGCTGACAACGTGGCTTCATGTCACGGAGGGACCCCATCACGAACTGCTCGACCAGAGAGAACAGTGGCAGTTTCCAGAGTCCACCTCACACAAGGACTGTAAAACATGTCAGCAGAGGAAGTATCTAAGTATATTCAACCAAGGGAACACTGGGACTTAGCAGTAGCATTACTGAAACTACGTTTAATTCAAGCTTCATGCATAAAGAACAACAACAACAAATTTTTTTATCACATTTACCGAAGTTAAATGAAGCAGGTCTTACAATAAAGGTGGGTATTTTTATGAAGAGAAGACTTAAGATTTTAGATTAAAGTTTTCATTTGAGCATTATAAACATCAAAATTTACAAGTCTGAGCCAAGAAACCATTTGTAAATTCAGTAAAGTTTTGACTGGGAAATTCAAAGTAAAAATGGAAAGTATTTTTAATTTGTAAAGCGTTTTTGTTTCAAAATTTGCATCAACATAATAAAGAATGAAATCTCAATGAAAATTAAACAAAACCATTTCTCCAAATTTTTTGTTGTTGTTGGCAGAACTAGAAGAGTCAATTATTCATGATGCGTTAACACAGAACCTTATTTCCTACAAAAAGCGATACTAACATCTCTTTTCCAGGTGCAATTTATGCTGCACATATGTTTATGCAACATCCACATCTCACTTAAAATCCAACAGACCTGAACGTATTAGACAACCTAGTTAATGCATAAGACCTGGGCAGGGGAGAAGCTTACCCTGAACAAGTGTATCTGCAAATATAAACCGCAGTAACACTTTGTGAAACTGTGCAGCCAAGCAAGTAAATCCCACAGTTTATAATTGTCTCAATGCTGAATCATACACATTGAAACAAGCAACACAGATTATTTTAATATGAATGGAGCTTTAATATTCAGTATCAGTACTAAATCTATTAACTTCTCCCAAGTAGCAAAGTCACCGTCTCTTAGTCTGAGTACAGTTAAAAGCTACCATATCTTTTTTTAGATTTCTTAAATCTTTCCCTAACAGGGCAGTTATAAAGTGTTCTCTGTAAACATGTGCGGAAGTTCATAAAATGGCTTTAAATACGTTTGGTGACTAATACGTTACTGAGAGGCAAGAGGGGAAAAAAACCTCCAAGACTATTTTAACAAAGCCAGATCCTAATTATCTCTTTGAAAGATTATGTTTTGGGGATTTTTGTTGTATGCAAGAGTTTTAGGTAGGAAGAGAGAGAAGAAAAGAAAAGAGCATTTTAATGCAGCCCTGTCAATCAGCTGTCACAGAGTTCGTTTTTCAACCTCATCCATTATGCAGATTGGGGCATTATTATAACATACATTTTCGCTCAAGCATGAGGCTTCAAGCAAAGAAGACAGGTGGTACTCGCAGAAGGAAGACTGGCTAGCCTTCCCTTTGGGGCACTTCTGCTGCTGCATCTTTAATACCAAACCAGGAAACAGCCATGCTCTAACAGGAGCATTTATTGAAGAACAAGCCCTTTTGTATATAATTACTTCAAAAGATTCATATAATAAGGTCATTAAAAAACGCTTTACTTCTCAACAGTGCATGACACTGGTTAACTCTTTCCGCTCAGATTTAGGTTGTTCACAGCTACCACGCTAGTGGACTTTGCTTTTTAGATCTAAAGCAATAGCAGGGTGCTTCTAAGTTAGCGTTGCCACTGCTGAAACAAACATTTAAATTGAAAATGTAAACTGAAAATATTAAGGCTGGGAAAAATATGCTTTAAATTGTTCTCGATTGGGAGAAGTTAACAATATTCTAAGAATACGTTTAGCTACCTTGCTCTAATAAACGAGGCACATGCCTTTATCCCAACTCTCTTCGACATGTTCTGCTCCCAGGACTCGGAGGCTGTGCGATTCCCTTCATCCATCCTTTCCAGTTCTTCTGAAGTGCAGAGGAATTCTTTTACAGCTTGGCTGCTGCTACAAGTCACGGCATTCTCCCTCTTTGTTTCTGTAGCAAGGCTGAACCGAGGGCCTTCTTTCCGGCCATCTGATCTGTGAGGCTGCAAATTAATCTCTCTTCCAGCTGATGTTTTGAAACTACTATCACTTACACTAACCTCTTCAGACTGATATAGATTTGTTTCTGGAATCACTAATGGAGACAAACTCTGTAAAAGGCTCATATAAGATTCAGCAAGTAACTTCCAGTACCAAGGGTTGAAAGGATGTAAGCAGATCAGCTGCTGCAGACACGTGATCTTTTCTTCTACATTTTCCAGACCCTGGTAAATGGCAAACTGCAGGTTGAGAACCGTTGTTAAGTGATCTGTGTTAGTAGCGCCGTTTCTCTAGAAACAAAAGACAATAGATTAAAAACAGGAGTAGAACAGAATCATCCTTCAGAGCCTAAGAAAATGTCTCCCTGAAAAATGACACACAAATATCACTAAAGGTAATTTTTAAATTGTACAAAACTGTGCTCTTAAAATTTTAAATGATACGTGATATGGATCACGCACAATCAAGCTGACAGCATTCCCTCTAGCTAGCTTGTCCCAGTCTGAAAGGCAAGAAGGCTCCGAATGCTGTCATTTGTTTATTTGCCTTCAGAGTTTTATACAGCTGCCCTTCTTTGTAGTATAAACACCCTTTATATAAAATAAACAGCAGCAGTAAAATTCTAGCAGACTTCAGAGCCTCTGGACTTTTTCCTTTGTGGGAAAAACTCAATTTGTGGTTAGATACTCTTCTTGGTGGCAGTTTGGCAGCAAGTATATGGAAATAAAAGGGAGTTTTGAACCGTCACTTTTATAGTGGAAAGATTTAAGCACTCATTTATCCCCTTTCTTATAATTCCTATTACATTACATTAATTCTGCCTGGCAGAGCATGATATTTAGTCCCTTCCAGGACTACCAGCCTCCCTGCACAGGGAGCTCATTGTGGTACAGGGTGTTCTGATTTCTAAAGAGTGATTATATCTGCAGTGACAGTTACCCTCTGTTTACCAAATACTCTGAGCACTGAACATCCTGAAGGATTATAGACATGAAGATTATTTTTCCAGAAAATGGTCCATATAAGAGAAGTACTGGCAATATTTTCACGTTCAAAGCCTAAAACAAAGATTGCATTACTTACCAATTTTTCTGCGATATCCAGAGCCTCCTTGTGCCTTCCCAGGCGACATAAACACCGAGCCCGACCCTCTTGGACATCTCGTCTCATTGCAATGTTACTGGGAGGTAAGACTAGTAAGCAGTTCGAGTACTCACACAGGGCTTTCTAGTAGTGTCGACAAAAAGAAAAGCCAAACAAAACAGTGAGACATTTTCATTTAAAAGAAAGCCTGACAGTATGTTTTGTTTATGACTACAGTCACAAAGGGAATTCAGGAGCTGAAGTCCACATTTTCATTTCTCTAGACTCAGCTACCACCTATGCCAGCAACAAACAAGGGCCCCGGTACTACACAGCCAAGTCTAGACAGTGATAAGCAACCTCAATCCTAACTCGTGTTTAAACCCTGACAGGATTCACCACACATCTGTCCACCTCTCCCCCACCAGGCCTGATCCAGAAGGGATCATCTATCAACCTGGGCAATATGTGACTCAAGGCATCTTTTCCCCAGCTACCAACTCAATGATCAGAGCACTCATCCTAAATTTGGATGATCTTGTTTCAAATCTGTGACATCCTCCACGGCAAGGTTTGAACCTGCAAGTACCTCACCTCACATGGATAATCAGCACATTGGAGAATACAACAAGGAAGGTGAATCTCCATTGTTTCTGTAGGGTGGTTCTAATTTGCATGAAATAATTAAATATTAATTGGGCTAAGGAAAAAGACAAGAATGAGCAATATTTCTGTAGCTTAATGCTCAGGGCACTCACCAGGACTCCAATTAACATTTAAATGCATTAAATTAAGTATTCAGTGAAGCTAAGACTGGATTCCTGGTTCCTCCCCCTTTATGTAAGTGCCCAGACCAGAAGACTAAAGAGCAGTGCTCATTCTCCCATCTCTCAAAATGAATATTTAATTATTCCTTGCGAACCTGAATGGTTCTAACAGAAAAAGCTTCTAGGCGACATACCCTAAATACTTCCTAGCAAAGTGGCTGACGTATTTTTCTTCCCTGGCATTAGCTTGCATTCCTTCTCAAGCAAAAGAGGGCGCTCCCCTCTGCCCAGTGAGTGCAGCAGCCACTGGTGAAAATGGATTAGAGGAGGGTTGCAGGACACCCCTGTTCACCCTGTTATGTGACAAAGGGATATAACCTGGCAAGGATCAGGCATTACGAATCCCAAGCAGATTCTACAGTCATCTATATCCTAAAAATGGGCACAGCTCAGATCACTGCTGTCCTTGGCATTTCCTACCAACCAAGTGGCCTAGGCTGATGTAAAAAAGTATTCAGAACGAGTGAAGAGATTACTACCCCCATTTACTTATTTCCAGCCCCCTTTCTAAGGTTGGCGCTCTCAAATCTGTAATTTTATGTACAGTCTAGTTCTGGTTCTGGTTCTGTCACAGTGATCCAGATTAGCAATAAGACTGAAGACTAGATGTTTTTAACATGGATCACTGCCACAGAAAAGGATTAGGAAACAACGGTCTGTTCCACTAGCAGATCTGAGGGGGTGTCATTCTCTCCTGAGAGGGCACCACAGCACACAGCAAGGAGCAATCTGCTCTTCCTGAGGGTCAGCAGCCATGTCTGACTGCAGCCCGAGGCATCTCTCTTCTCAGCACACTTTTATGAATCCCTTCAGGGCATCCCAGCTGAGACCGGAAAGCATCTGTCAGGTATAGACAAGACAGCAGTAGTGCTGAAATAACATTAAAAAGCAGAAGTCAGTGCCAACTGAGGTACAAAAAGATCAACAAATCCAATGGGCAAGGCGAAAGGAGTGGAGTTAGAAGTCGGCCTGAGGGCTTTGAAATCAGGGAGCCTCTAATGCAAACCATAGCCTGGAACAAGAAGCTATTACAGTTGAAACAAGGGCAGAAGCAGCTGATTTCAACCAGGAAACAAGGTAACAAAAGACTAGATTTCTGCAACTAGGACTACAGAGGCAGGAGAGCATCAATGATCAGGAATGCAGCTCAGGAAGTAGGCAGTGAGGGCAGGGTCAAGGACTACAGCAGGCAGGAAGAGAAACGGGGAACATAAATGCACCCCAAAGGCACAACCAGCGATCCAGAGCAAAGGGAGGCAGCAGAGAGGTGGGACAATTAATGATGAGGCTCATAAGCCAACTGTCAGGAGCCTGACAACTACAGTCAGCTTTCACCTGACAGCTGGGGGAGCTCCGAGAAAGGTGAGCTGGCAGCCAGGTGGTTGCCAGCAATCTGACAGCGTTTGTGGGACATGGTATTATCCCCAGGAGCAGAGAAATCCACATGCTTAACTCTGGCTGACCATGAGGTCCATGGCCACAAACACTAGCTCTGCTCACCGCTGAACCGCTCATATGCGCAAGCCTGATCCGGATCAGCTCTGGCCGCAGAGCAGCATTTCTGGCCAGTTTACACTGACTTCACGCTGACTCCTGGAAAGATGTCATCTGGCTGGGGGAGCTCGCCAGAGCACAGTTACCCATCGTGGCCTGGCCGCAGCTCAGCCAGCAGGACGGCTCTTCACCAGCTCACCGTGACTGCCCGTGGGGCTGTCACGCTGTCAGCACAAACGAGGAGCCATCAAGCTGGACGTAACCCGCCACGGACTCCAGCACCCCCAGGCTGTGCCTCAGCCGGGAGGCTTTTTTACATAAATACACAAACACACGCACTCAGCACGGCGGGGACTACAGGATCACCCCAGCTTATATCCCCGCAACTTCCACCGACCAGGGCCCGGGCTCGGCCCAGGCCCCAGGCCCCAGGCCGTGCCAGAGCCCTGGAAATACCTCAAACTCCTGCTGCCGGTAGGCCCAGTCCGCCCGGAACTTGCTGGCCGTTAGCCCCCCGGCGCCTTCCCCGCCGTCCGCCTCGCTGCGAAACCACTGCGGGCACAGCACAAACCCGTCAGGGGGGCCGAGGCCGCCCCCGCCCTACCCGGGCGGCCCCTTCGGCCGCTCCCGCCGCCCCCCCGCCGCCGCC